AGTCCCAGTTACTTGGGAAGCTGAGACAGAAGAATCACTAGAACCCAAGAGGCGGAGGTTGCAGTGAGCCAAGACTGCGCCACTGCACTCCAGCCTGGGCAACAGAGCGAGACTCCATCTCAAAAAAAAAAAATGAAATAGTGAAATCTGGATATCTATTCCTTGCTCTCAAATGAGTCAGAAAAACATAATTATACACATACATGCATATATACATAAAGGAAGAGTAAGGCAAACATGGTATAATGTTAATGCTTGAGGAATCTGGATTAGTGTATTCAAGGGTAGTTAGTATTATTCTTGAAACTTTTCTGTAAATTTTAAGTTATTTCATAAAAATTTATAACTTAGGATCTTGTCATATGATTAATAGGGTAAATGATGATTTTTATAAGAACATTTATTTTCTATCTTGTGAACTTTTTTTTCATATCTTTGGCCTGCTTTGTATTTAGATTTTCACATTTACCTTATTCATTTCTAATAATTCTAAGCCTATGAAGTCTTTATCTGATTTGATAGTTCCTCAGAAAGCCATTTGCCTTTTCACTTGAGTCTATGTGATATTTCACATGATGTAATCAAATCTATCTGATGTTTCCATGAAGTATTTTGCTTTTATACTATGGTTGTAAAGCATTACTTATCTCAAGTTTACATATCCACCTGCATTTGCCTCTGGTTTGAAAAAACAAAAAGAAGAGAAGGAGATAGAAATGTATAGTATAGTAGAACTGAGAAATTATTTATATATTTCCTAATCTGATGCTCAATTTAAAGGAGAAAATAATTATGAAGAATTTTATCTTTTAAAATAGATTTAACATTTTTAACGTGACTGTGTGCTTTATCTCTGTGATAGCTGTGTAGTTACCACAGAACGAAAAGATTAAAGATGTAGACATAACATATGCATGAAAAAATTTTTTTCAAATGTTTAGACTAAAATGTTTTACAGAAGTAACACTTTTGTTAAACTTTCTCTGTATATTGGGTGATATTTAAATGTAATATGAACCTAAAATTTTATCTGGGATGTGCCACAATCTAACCGTATCCATGGCTTTTATGAGTTAGACATAAACTCGTTATGTGGAAGACAATGAATATCAATGAATATTCAGGAAGTCAGAGAAATCTAAATCTATTCTATGTAAATATCCTGAATCGAAGTTTTCCATTTAGTAACAGTATACCACTGTGGTTGAGGCTGCTGGCTTTAGCTCTAACAAGATGGGTTCAAATTGTGGCTATGCTGTGAAATAGTTATGTGATCTAAAGCAAGTTATTTAATGTCTCTGTACTTTGGTTTCCTCATCTGTTAGCTAAGATACCAATACTTACTAATTCATAGGATTTGGGGAAAGATAAATGAGTCAATACATGTAAAACATTTGGAATTGGGACTGCTCCATCAAAGCACTCAATGCATTAGCTATTTTTTGTAATTGTGTCATGTATTTTAGTCTCATCTAAAAACTATGTCTGCATTTTGGTCAAAGGGAATAAAAACTATAAAGAATTTAAGTTTAAAACCTCAGAAGTCGGCCGGGCGCGGTGGCTCAAGCCTGTAATCCCAGCACTTTGGGAGGCCGAGACGGGCGGATCACGAGGTCAGGAGATCGAGACCATCCCGGCTAACACGGTGAAACCCCGTCTCTACTAAAAATACAAAAAACTAGCCGGGCGAGGTGGCGGGCGCCTGTAGTCCCAGCCTCCGGGAGGCTGAGGCCGGAGAATGGCGTGAACCCAGGAGGCGGAGCTTGCAGTGAGCTGAGATCCGGCCACGGCACTCCAACCTGGGCGGCAGAGTGAGACTCCGCCTCAAAAAAAAAAAAAAAAAAAAAACCTCAGAAGTCAGGGTTTCATTGTTATTCTTCACTAAGTGTATAGCTTTTATGCACCCAACAACAGAGCAGATAAATAACACAAAAACTACTGGGAATGCAGGGGTAACATCGTTAAAAATACATAAGCACTGAAGCTTTTCATAATCCTTTTTCAGTATCAAACAGTCCAAGTATACCAAAAATTAAAAACATAAAGAAAAATACAATTAACAAACTTAAAAGCAATAGTATGAATACTTACATACCTAAATAGAGAATGTACATTTTTACAGTAATAGAACATGAACAAAAATCTACCAGGTACCTATTCACACAGAAATCATAAACTTATTCAAAATAGTGTGGCTAATGCTGTTTTATCACGATTCCACCAAATCAGAAATAAAAGTAAAATAATGATGAAAAGTGTTAAAACACTTAAGAATTAAGAACTCATTGATAGTATGGAGATTCCTTAAAGAACTAAAAGTAGATCTACCGTTCAGTCAAGCAATCCCACTACTAGGTATTTACCCAAAGGAAAAGAAGTCATTATATGAAAAAGACACATAAGCAAAGCGTGATGCCTCATGCCTGTAACCCCAGCACTTTGGGAAGCCAAGGGAGGGAGAGGATCACTTGAGCCCAAGAGTTCAAGGCCAGCCTGGACAACACAGTGAGACCTCATTTGAATTTAAAAAGAAAAAGACATATGCGCAGTCATGTTTATAGCAGCACAACTCACAATTGCAAAGACATGGAACCAATCTAAGTGCCCATCAACCAATGAGTGGATAAAGAAAATGTAGTATATATACACCACAGAATACTACTCAGTCATAAAAATAAACAAACTAATGTCTTTTGCAGCAACTTGGATGGAACTGGAGGCCATTAATCTAAGTGAAGTAACCCAGGAATGGAAAACCAAATTCCATTATGTTCTCATTTATAAGTGGGAGCTAAGCTATGAGGATGCAAAGATGTACATAATAAATTTTGGGGACTCTGGGTAGGAGGAGGGAGGTGAGGAGTAAAAGACTAAATATTGGGTACAGTGTACACTGCTCAGGTGATGGGTGCAGTCTCAGAATTCACCACTCAGAATTCTCAGAATTCACCACTACAGAATTCATCCATGTAACCAAAAACCACTTGTACCCCAAAAGCTACTGAAATTTTTTTAAAAAGAATTCATTGATAACCCATGGGTAGAAAGAAATCAAAACAACTTATATCAATGTTACTGATAAAAGAACACTTCAATCCAAAAAATGGGATACCATGACAGTTATACCAGCAGAAATATTGCATCCATCTTAACCCTTTTATTCAAAAAAGAAAGTGATTTTTTTTTTAGAGACAGGGTCTCCCTCTGGCGCCCAGGCTGGAGTGCAGTGGCACAATCATAGCTCACTGTAACCTCAAACTCCTGGGCTCAAGTGATCCTCCCACCTCAGCCTCACAAGGAGCTGGAATTTTGGGTACAAGCCACCAAGCCTAGCAGAACTCAGAAATCTTAATAAAGAAATTTATTAGTACTTGTTTTAGTCAGCTTAGGCTGTTGTAAGACTCATTTCTCACAGTTCTAGAAGCTGGGAAGTCTGAATCAGAGCACCTGCATGGTCACAGTCCTGGTGAGAGTTCTCTTCCTGGCTTGCAAATGGAAGTCTTCTTGCTGTGTCCTCACATGCAGAGAGAGAGAGACAGAGAGAGAGAGAGAGAGAGAGAGAGACAGAGAGAGGCAGAAAGAGAAAAGGAAATATCTCTCATGTTTCTTCTTCTAAAGGTACTAATCCCATCATGAGGGCTCTGCCTTCACAATCTAATCACCTCCCAAAGGTCCCATCTCCAAATACCATTATATTGGAAGTTAGGGCTCCAATATACGCATGGGGTTGGCGGAGGAACAAGGAACACAATTCAGTCTACAGAAGTACTCTTAGTAAAAATGTTATAAAACCAGAAAAATAATAGAAGAAAATAAGCCCAAAAAGATGAAATATAAAATTGGTCAAGAAAAAAGTTCAATGTAATGAAATAAAAATAAACTATAATAGCCAATATAAACAACCTAAAAGCTTATACTTTTAAAAGCTCTATAGAGAAACCCCTTTTGAATCTATTTGTGTAAAAAACGTTTGTGCATGTGTGTGTATGTCTACATCTGTGTGTGTATGATTAAAAACAAGAAAAAAATGCATTCCTGAGAAATTAAAATAATTATTTAAGACTGTATATAAGTACAGGGCAACCAATCTGCCAACTTATAGAAAAGAGATCATTCCCTAGAGAAATATAAAAGTTATTAAAAACTGATCCAAATAGAAGTAGAAAGCTTGAATAATTTCCTTAGAAGAGTTTGAAAGAAGAATTTAAAAGCTATCATTTTTAAAGAGAACAGAACCAAGTGATTTCACCAATGAGTTCCATCTAATTTCTAAGATGCATGGAATTCTAGTATTATTTAAGCTATTCCAGGTCATAGAAAAGTATTAAAATCCCTACAATTTACTTTGGAGGTTAACATTATCTTAATATCCAAACCTGACAGTGGACCAAAAATACACATAATTCAATGCCATTAAATAAAATATAATTTCCAGCAATATATCAAAAATGTTTAATAGTTTACTCAGTAGAGTCCATTCCAGGAATACAAGAATGGACCAATATTAAGAAAGGTGTCTTCATAATTAATTACATCAAAAAACTGAAGATTAAACCATATAACTATAATAATGAATGACAAAAAGTATTTCATAAAAACTTAGTCATTCCTAATAAGAACTAGGTAATTCAGTAACCAAATAATAGTATTTAAATAAGACAATGCTTCTTAACAAAACACATTAATACATAATAAAAATAATCCTTAGACTTCTCTGATGAAATATCTAAGAGACTCAGTACAGCCAAATGCCTCAACTACAGTAAAATTTGGCAGTGAGAGAGAATAAATTACAAATTTGAAATTTAATATATATATATTCAAAATATATATATATTCAAACTCATAAACATACATATATATCTATGTACTATATATTCACACACAGAAATACCACCAAATTCATATATAAAAATGCATATGTATCCCTTCACAGAAAACATACACAATATATCTAATTATACATTTATATTTATTCTCTGTTAAAATTACTAGTTTACCTGTTTGGGATGTCGGAACAAGGAATTCTTATAGAAAATGTCCTTAGCCTGGCTCCATGTACCATCAATGATGATGATTGTAGAAGGATAAACAGGAGAATCTAATATAAATTCTTCCAAATTAGCAGCTTCAGCCCCAGGATATAATATTAATGTACCAGACTTCCGGCAAACAGTTGAAAGTTCAGGATCTCTGAAAAAGTTTTTTAAAAATATATCTTTATTAGCTTGTGAGGAAAAAAGGTTTTATTATGCTTACTGAATTTCCTAATAAAAGTTTCCCTATATCTAGTCATTTGTCTAATCAAATATAGGTATTAATTAGTTTATAAAGTATGAATTTAAAACACTCAAAATTTTGTGTACTCTCTACTGATTTATTCACCACAATTCTGCCACTCACCTCTAGGCTTTCCAATCCTCACTATTCTTCTATTCTTCTCTATTAAAGCTTTTCTATCCAACTGCCAGTGACATAACTTTAGCCCTTCCAAAGAATTCTTCCTTTTCTCACTAATATTTCATGTGTAATCTGATCCACTTTATCAAAGTAAACAACTGGCATTGCCTAACAATCCTAGCACAAACAATCCTAACAATCCCAGGGCAAAATCTAGTAGCAATGGAAGAACCATAAGGAAAAGTTAGGTTGCACAGGCAAGCCACATTCTCAAATTCACCTTTGTTAAAGCCAACTAAATATGGCCTGAGAAGGATTCCATACTTCTAAATTTGAGTCCGTGTGGATGAAATCTAACCTATCTTAATAGGCAGACAAGATTGAACATCTAACTTAGGAGTACGCACCTGTAACAATGGCTGAGTCTTGGCCAATCCCAGTGGCCACACTTCAACCACTTACAGACTGCTAAGTGTTCAAACTGTGTTCAAATAAGGCACACCCCAACCTGTAACCAATCCAGCTGTTTCTGTACCTCACTGCTGATTTCTGTATGTCACTTCCCTTTTTTTTTCTCATCTACAAATTTGTTCTGACCACAAGGCATCCCTGGAGTCTCTCTGAATCTGCAGTGATTCTGGGGGCTGCCCGATTCATGAAGTGTTCATTGCTCAATTAAATACCTTTAAATTTAATTTGGCTGAAGTTTTTCTTATAACACCTTATATATGATCTATTGAAGGAAACCAAAATATTTCACTTCAAAATATACTTATTTGACATACGCTGAGACGGCTGTTTAGAGGGCTTGCAAACAGCAGTAGCCTTGAAAAGCTGTTGCATCTGTAGAGAAAAACAGATGGCAGCCAGGCTTTCTCTGAGGACCTTCCCTTGTCCAGATTTAGGAAATAATAACTGAAAGTCTGACAACCTTAATTGTCTGAAAGAAATATTTACCCTCTATTCTCCATGAAGGCTGCTATCTGTGCAGTTTCATCTGCATAACAAGACCACTTGTGCTAGCCAGGCCTCCTCTTCTTCCCGTTCCATGTGTTTTTGCCATAATAACCGGCTTTGCCAGGCTCTAAGCCCCTATTCTTTCTGTAAACCTCAAGATGACATAAAAGCATCAACCATCTGGCCATTTCTTTGAGTTCTTATATCTCATAAGACTCCCTTACACATTAATAAATTTGTATGCCTTTTCTCCCTTTAATTTGTCTTTTGTCAGATGGTTTTCAGCAGACCTTCAGAGGGTGAAGAGGAAGGTTTCCCTTGGCCCCTACACCATCATCCAGTTCAATTATAGAGTTTGTTGGTTCAACATTCATTCAAAAATGTGTCAAAGCTTTTTGGTACTGGAGATAAAACAACGAATGAGACACCCTTTGCCCACAAGCAAAAAAACAAAACATTAAGGGGAAAGTAGACAAATTATCATTGTTCTTGGAAATATAATTTGGACTTCCAATTTCAGCTCAGAAATAAAGAGCTTGAAAGTCATCAAGCCCATCTTCACAAGAAAAATGCTAACAAACTGAAAATTAACAACTTTTCTTAGATCCATCAGAGAACTGAGGTCCCAGGGCAAAAACTCCAAAAACCAGAGGAAAAAAAAAGTAACCATCTCGAAATAGCCCACAGCATTCTCCATAACAAAGGCCTTTCCCTCAAGAGAAACTACTTACCACAGCTTTTTTTCTACCTATTATTTAACCACAAAAAAAAATTAAGTACTAATGTATGTTACAACATACGTGTTACAACCTTGAAAGCATTATGCTAAGTGAAAGAAGCCAGTCACAAAAGTCCAAATACATTATTTCATTTATATGGAATATCAGATATCAAATATGAATATCAAATAGGAAAATCAATAGAAACACAAAGTAGACTAGTGTTTGCCTAGGATTGGGAAGGTGCAGGGAGTTGGAAAGGATGGAGGGCATAGGGATAGGTAAGTAATAGTTAAAGGTAGAGGGTTTCTTTTTGAGGTGATGACATATTTTAAATTGGTGATGGTTGCAAATATCTTTGGATATAGTAGAAACCAATTAATTTGTACATTTTAAATTGGTAAGTTAAATGGTATGTGAATTACATATCAATAAAACCCTTTCAAAAAAAAAAAGGGGAGAAAGATATATGATAATACTAATCAAAAGATAATTCTAGGCCAGGCACAGCGGCTCACCCCTGTAATCCCAGCACTTTGGGAGGCCGAGGCAGGAGCACTGCTTGAGCCCAAGAGTTCAAGACCAGCCTAGGCCACACAGTGAGACCCCCATCTCTCCAAAAACGTTTAAAAATTAGCCAAGCATGGTGGCGTCCACCTATAGTCCCAGCTACTCGGGAGGCGGAGGCAGGAGAATCGCTTGAGCCTGGGAAGTCAAGGCTGCAGTGAACCATGATTGTGCCACTACACTCGAGCTTGGGCAACAAAATGAGACCTTGTCTCAAAAAAATAAAAAAAGGTAACTGCAGTAGCTATATTAACTACAGACAAAGCAGACATCAGAAGGAAAATTATCAGGATGAAGAGAGGCATTACATAATGACAAAAGAGTCAATTCTCCAAGAAGACATAAAAATCTTTTAACATGTATGTACTTAACAATTCACTGTTCACAATATGTAAGGCAAAAACCAATAGAACTGAAAAGATAAATAGACAAATTCAGTAATATAGTTGGAGACTCAGTACAACCTTGTCAGTAACTGGTAGATCAAGCAGGCAAAAAATCAGTAAGGATATTGTTGGCCTGAACAGCATTGTCAATCAACTTGATCTAATTGACATTTATAGAATAGTTCACCAACAACAAAATACACATTCCTCTCAAGTTCACATGAAACACTCACCAAAACAGACCACATTCTGGGCCATAAAACATACCCCGACAAATTTAAAATAGAAATCATACAAAGTATGCTCTCAGACTACAATGGAATTAAATTAGAGCCAGAAAACTTGCTGGAAAACTCCACAATATTGGAGAATAAACAACACACTTCTAAATAAACCACGGGTCAAGAGATAAGTCTCAAGGGAAATTTTTAAATATTTTGAACTAAACGAAAATGAAAATACAACTTATCAAAATGTGTGGGATGCAGCAAAAGCACTGCTTAGAGGGATATTCGTAGCATTAAAACACACATATTAGGAAAGAGGAAAGACCTGAAAATCAACAGTCTGAGGTTCCTCCTTAAAAACACAACAACAACAACAACAATAAAAGTTAGATAGGGCTGGGCATGGTGGCTCATGCCTCTAATCCCAGAGGCAGGAGGGTCACCTGAGGCCAGGAGCTCAAGATCAGCCTGAGCAATGTAGCAAGATTCTGTCTTGACCAAAAAAAAAAAAAAAAGGCTAGAGAAAGAAGAGCAATTTAAGCCTAAAACAAGCACTAAAAAAAGAAAAGAAAGAGTAAAACCTAAGATGGAAATCAATGAAGTTCAAAATAGGAAGACAACAGAGAAAATCAATGAAACCAAAAGCTGACTGTTAACAGAAGGAATTGTGTCCTCCCCAAAATTCAAATGTTGAAGTCCTAACCCCTAGTAGCTCAGAATATGATGGTATTCAGAGACTGATAAATCACCTTTAAAGAGGTGATGAAGTTAAAATGAAGCCATTAGGGTGTTCTCTATTCTAATCTAACTGATATGGTTATAAGAGGAAATTTGGACACAAAAGAAGAGATGGCAGGGGCACACCTGTTCAGAGGGACAACTATGTGAACAAGCAATGAGAGGGCAACCAACCGCAAGCCAAGGAGAGGCCTCAGGAGAAACCAAATCTACTGACCTCTTGATCTTAAAGAGTTCTAAACTCAAGAACTGTGGAAAATAAACTTCTCTTTGGCCACCCAATATGTGGTATTTTATTATGACAGTCCTAGCAAAATAATACACTGGTTCTTTGAAAAGATCAAATAAATGGATAAAACTACACCTAAGGTAATCAAAAAAAAAAAAAAGAGCAAAGACACAACTACCAATATCAGAAATAAAAAACGGGGATCATTACTGATTCTATAGTCATTAATAATAAAGAAATACTACAAAAAACTCAATGCCCACAAATTTCATAGTTGAGAGGAAATTAATTCTTTGAAAAACAAACTATCAAAATTCACACAAGGAGAAACAGGAAAACTGAAAAGCTCTATGTCTATCAAAGAAATTGAATCAATAATTAATAATCTTCTAAAAAAACAAATCACCAGGCCCAGGTGGTTTCAGCAGTGAATTCTCTCAAACATTTCAAGATGAAATGGTATCAGTTCTCTACAATCTCTTCCAGATAATAAAAACAGACAGAACATTGCCTAATTCATTCCATAAGGCCAGCATTACCCGCATATCAAAACCAAATAAAGGCATTACAAGAAAGGAAAACTATAGATCAATATCCCTTATGAACATAAACATAAAAATTCTCAACAAAATACCAGCAAATTAAATCCAATATGCATAAAAACTTATCTACCATCACAAATCAGATTTATTACAGGGATGGAAGACTGGTTTAACATTCAAAATCAATAAATGTAATCAACCACATCAATGGACTGAAGAAGAAACATCAAAGGACTGTATCAATTCACAAAGAAAACGTACTTGACAAAACCCAAAGCCCACTCATGAGAAAAATTCTCCACAAGCTAGGAATAGGGGAGAATGGCCTCAATTTAATACAGAACATTTGCAAAATACCTATAGCTAGCATTATACATAACAGTTCTCTAAGACTGAGAACAAAACAAGGATGTCCTCTCACCACTGCTATTCAACCCCTAGCTACTGAAATAAGAAAAGGGAACAAAAGACATACAAACTGGAAAGATGAAATAAAACCATATATATTCCTCAGACGACATAATCATCTATATAGAAAAGCCCACGGAACTGACCAAAAAAATAAAAATTAAAAAAAAATAACCTCCAAGAACAAGTAAATAAGTACAGCAAGGTCACAAGATATAAGGTTAATATACAAAAGTCAACTGCTTTCCCACATACCAACAATGAAAAATTCACATTTGTAATTGTTTTAAATACCATTAAAATAGCCCTCCAAAAATGAAATTCTTAGGTGTGAATCTAATAAAATATGTAAAGTACCTGTATGTGAAAAACTACAAAACACTGATAAAAAGCAAAAAGGACCGGGCACAGCAGCTCACATCTGTAATCCTAGCACTTTGGGAGGCCAAGATGAGAGGATCACCTGAGGTCAGGAGTTTGAGACCAGCCTAGTCAACATAGCAAGACCCCATCTCAATTTATTTTTTTAAAAAAATTATGTGTATATGAATGAACAAAAAGGTTTAAAATCTGTTATCTAATCTTCTACTAAAAAAAAAGAAAAAAAGAGAAATTAAATCCGAAGCAAGAAAAAAATTGACAATGAAGAGTAGAAATCAATTAGAAAATCAAACAGAGAAAAATACAAAGCCAAATCTTGGTTCTTCAAAGAGATCTACCGAAACAGACTAAGAAAAAAGAAATGACACAAATTACCTAAATCAGGAATTAAAAGAGGCTACCACTACAAATTCTACAGACATGACAATAACGATAAATAAATGCTACAAGCAACTTTATGACAATAAATTCAACAATTTAGATAACTTGTACCATTTCTTTGAAAGGTACAAAATATAAAAACTGACACGAAAATAAATAGAAAATACGAAATTCCTTATGTTTAATAAATGAATTATATTTGTAAGAAAAAAACCATCCCACAAATTATAATATGACCAGGTGGGTTTTATCTTAGAAATAGAAGGGTTTTAACATGCAGAAATCAATCAATATAACACACTATATTAACAGAATTAAGGAGAGAATCTACATGATCATTTCAATAGATGGATTTCACAAAATTCAACAAACACCCATTCATAATTAAAAATCTCTGCACTTTAGAAACTGATAAATTACATTGTATAACATGGTTATTAGAGTTAACAGATTGTATACTTGAAAACAGCCATGAGGGCAGGTCTTAAATGTTATCACTGCAAAAAAAAAAAAAAAGTAAAACTATTGTTATAAATTTGTTTAATACAGTGGTTGCCTTGACATCCATTTTAGGCCTGACATAAGTTATCCGTAATCCAGCCAACCCTGTCACCTTTGGCCTAGTTAAAACTTTCTCTCCCTGTGTGGTGTTTGCCATATAGCCTACTTGTTCCTCACTAATCCAAAACCCAACACATCCCATAGCTGCTGACCACAATAAAACCCAGAGTCATATGAATAATACCAGAGTTATATGAATAAGCTCCCCCTTAACATTGTTCTCTTTAAACTAGCCAGTCCACAACCCACAGGGAAATCCCAAGGGATAATCCCCACAGACCTTAATAAAGGCATAATCCCACAGGTCTCCTCTTCCCGCCCACCCAGCGGCTGAATCCCCTATTTCCAGACTTCCCTTTGGCCTCACATTGGCATCCTAACCTCTCTAGTATCTATGTGTAATAAACTTCTTTCCTTTCATGCATTTTGGCTTCACTTCCTCATTGTGTCTCTCCTGACACAGCCATACTATAGTATTCTCAACATTATTGAACGTTTTAAACAAATCTTAACTGTGTGAGGTGATAAATGTGTTAATTAGCTTGACTGTGCTAATCATTTCACAATGTACACATACATCAAAACATCACACTGTACATGATAAATATAACTTTTATCTATCAATTATCCTCAATAATGCTTGGGGGGAGAAACATACAGCTAATATCATAGTTAATAATGTCCACAGAGTTTGGGACCAAGGTAAAGATGTTGGCTTTTACCACTTCTAATAAACATTATACTAAAAGTATCAGTTATTGCAAAGAGGCAAGGAAAAAGAAAGGATAAGTATCAGAAAGGAAGAAATATAAATGATCCCATTTGCAGATGACAATGCTGCTTACATAGAAAGTTCCAGGGAATCTACAAAACAATTTCTACAACTAACAGATGAATTTAGAAAGTTACTGGATACAGGGTTAATATATAAAAACCAATTGTTTTCTTATATACTAGAGGCAAAAATTTACAAAGGACACCAAAAGCAGTAAGTCTCTTAATCATTCCCCCATGATTTCATCATGTACTCTAACAAAAGCCTAAATTAATCATTCAGTTACTACATTTATATTGACAGTTCTAATCTGCTTTAATTTAAAATTCATCAGCAAATAATAATTTATTGGCCAGGCACAGTGGCTCATGCCTGTAGTCCCAGCTGCTCAGGAAGCTGAGGTGGGAGGATCCCTTGAGCCCAAGAGGTGGAGGTTGCAGTAAGCCAAAATTGCACCACTGCACGCCAGACTGGGCAACAAAGTGAGATCCTGCCTCGAAAAATAATAATAATAATAATTTACTAAGTAAGCACTATATTAGGCACCATAGGGAGAAAAAAAACTGAACTAAATCTAATACAAGAACCCTACCAAAAAAAAATGTTGTGGAAGATATTTTAAAAAAAAAAAAAGAACCCTACCATCTACCAACTGGAAGGCACTTTTAACAAAAATGATATAAGCACCAAGTATATTTGCCTTTTAAGTTAAACATACTTTAAGTTAAAACATACTTTTAGGTTAAATATTCCTTTGCTTACACATTATTTATTTTTTTATTTCTGATTTTGTTTTGTTTTGTCTTGTATTATTTTGTGTGGTCGGGGGTTAGCAGAACTTAAATTTTTTGACTAATTTCCACTCTTTAGACCACGAATAACCCGAAAGAAATGAATAAGTTGAATGAAACCATTTTTAAAGATCTGTGTAGAAAAGAATTATTTGCATTGCCCTAACAGTTAATTTACCTTTCTTCACTGAAGCGACGACCAATCTTTACTTTACACTTGTCCTGGGGGAGGCATGCTGCTAGTAGAGGAACTGTACGCAACACTTTGTTTTCCTTTAATTAAAAAATGAATTGAAACATAGATTTTTACTTAGATATACACACTTTTAAATATTTTATAATGAACATCTGATTCATAACTTTATGTATAACTTTTACAAGCCTTTTACTAAAGACCACAGTTTAATAAAAAGAGGTAAAATTTCTCTGATTTATCAGTATTAACCATAACACAAGCATACCTTTTTATTCTATTTGGGTATGTTTACGGGTTTACTGATCAAAGAAGATTACATTAATATATATAATGAATAAGATTATTAAAATGTAAATTTGTGTTTAACTAAATTGAATCATTTATTCTGACAAGTTTTTCATTTCACAAGTAATTACATTTTGCACTATGTCAGCTTGAAGATAATTGCCTAGATCTTTATGCCCAAACAGCAAGGAAGTGCTCAGAAAACAAAACAATGGGTTCTTCCCAGCATAGCCTCTTTATTTAAATTAAAATTTTTTTTAAAAAAGGAAAACAAACAATGTGGTATGTCGAAGGGACATAGAAGTCAATCTTAAAGAGCTCCCAATGGCTAAAACTGAACAATCTGAGCAACAAAATAAATAACACAGTACTGGATTATAACCCAAAGTACAAATTAGAGTCCGGAATGATATAAATAAATGACTTAATAAATAAATGGGGGAGAAGAAACAAATCTTCCTTACAAAAGAATTCCAAATAATAAATGTAAATACTACCCCCTCCAGAAGGTGGAGCTTAGTCTCTTCCTCCCACTTGAGTGTGGGCCGGATTTATGGCCTTCCTTCCAAAGAATATAGAGTATGGAAAGAGAACAAAAATAATAACTTTAGAGTGGAGAAATCTGGTGGCCGTTTCTGAAAATGCCATTAACTTGACTGTCATCAGTGGTTTCTTCAATGTCCTAGCTTCCAACACTGGAAACCATCTTTCTTGTTGCCACGAGAATTCTACCTTGAATCCCATAGAGCCATGTGATTAGTCACTCTGCCTTAGGTGGTTTTAGGACATTTTCCAATGTTTAATACAGTGTTCTTCTCCCCTTACCATCACCATGAGACTGTGACACAGACTTAATCACTTTCTAAACCTTTATCAAAGTAATACATGTATACATGTCAAATTAAATAGTGCCAAAAGATTTAAAATGCCACAGTTGTTCCCAGATGTACTCCCCAGTACCACTTACTGGAGGCAATCACTTTAACTCTTTTGGCTATTTCTTCTGGTAGTTATCTCCATATAACCACATAATAAACTTTGTTTTTCTATTTCTTATCAATTTTAGATATTATCCAAAATCTACCAATTATCATCATAACAGCTAATATTAAGGCACACAATTCTAAGTGCAATACACAGAGAGAAATATATCTTTTGTCATATCCATTTTACTAATGAGGAAACTGAAACACAAAGATGTTAATTAACTTGCCCAAAGTTCCATAGTTTATAGAACTATTAAGAATTTGAGCTTGGGCAGTCTAGCTCCACAGCCCTTAAGTACTGCCTCTCATAACAAATGAGGATTTAGCTATCTAACACCACTCCTTCCTCTCACATCTAATATTATTAGTTAAGTCAATAAAGAGTGTTGCATCTTCACGACTAAATATACATTATTCACAAAGGCCAAGTCGTTTAACATTTCTTTCTCGTAAAGCTTTTTGTTATTTTTGAGATAGCTTTTCTGTTTTTATCCTTAAGTAATTTTATATATATGTATACCTACTCTTTGAAATGCTCCATCATATCACCTCCATATCATCTACTCCACCAAGTCTTCTTTTCCCAAAGCCCCCTCCTAAAGCCTATCTAAATGGTTTTTAATAACTTTTTTATGGGAAAGTCAAAAAACTAGCATATCCTTTTATTGGAAATGGTGTGCTGAAGTTAAGCACAGGCAGCCCAGCACTCATAAGTTAGATGAAAACTGGAAAATTCCTTTGCTGAGAATGGCTGGGCAGGGTGGCTCATGCCTATAGTCCCAGCTCTTAGGGAGGCAGAGGCTGGAGGATACCTTGAGCCCTGGGTTTGAGACCTGTCTGGGTAATATAGTGAGACCCCATTCTTAAAAACAGAAAAAAATAATAATAGAAAGTTCTTTGCTGAGAAGGAAAAACTGTATGGATGCATTTGTATATGCATAAAATATATTTGTAGCACACACAATGATGAATGCATCATCTAAACCATAGATTAATGGTAAAAAAAATAAATTAAAAATAAGATATTTGAAAACATTTAAAAAAAAAAAAAAAAAGGCCAAGCATGATGGCTCATGTCCACAATTCTAGCACCGTGGGAGGCTAAGGCAGGAGGATCACTCAAGGCCAGGAGTTCAAGACTAGCCTGGGCAACATAGTGAGACTCCATCTCTACAAAAAATAGAAAGAAAACATTAATATTGCCACAAATCAATGAAAACACCCATATTAAAAAAGCTATCTTATATCTGGAACCACACAAAAATGAAAAGGCACCATACTGTGTCTACTGCAAAATGAACGCAGTACTTACCATCAAATCTCAAGTGGTTTGGGGTTTTGTTTTGTTTTGTTTTTTAAGATAGGGTCTTGCTATATAGCCCAGGTGGGAGTGCAGTGTCACAATCATAGCTCATTGCAGCCTAAAACTCCTGGGCAGAAGGGATGCTCCCACCTCAGCCTCCCAAGTAGCTAGGCCTATATGCATGTGCCACCACACTTGGCTAATTTTTTTATTTGTTTATAGAGATGGGGTCTCACTATGTTGTCCAGGCTGGTCTCAAACTTGTGGGCTCAAGTTATCCTCCTTCTTCAGCCTCCCAAAGTGCTTGAATTATAGGCATGAGCCACCACTCCTAGCCTCAAAAGTCAGGTTTTAACCAAAACTGCTATGGCCAGCAAGCTATCATTTTACATAAATTTTGAGCTGTACAATGTTTTAAGTTTAAATGCAGTAAAATAGCGCTAGTGACCAAAATGGTCATAATCCTGACAAAAGCATGATGCTGTTAAGACTGAGAAAAAGGTTAGGCCAGGCGCGGTGGCTCACGCCTGTAATCTCAGCACTTTGGGAGGCTGAGGCGGGCAGATCACGAGGTCAGGAGATCAAGACCATCCTGGCTAACATGGTGAAACCCCGTCTCTACTAAAAATAACTACTAAAAATACAAAAAATTAGCCGAGCATTGTGGCAGGCACCTGTAGTCCCAGCTATACTTGGGAGGCTGAAGTAGGAGAATGGCGTGAACCCAGAAGGCAGAGCTTGCAGTGAGCTGAGATCGCATCACTGCACTCCAGCCTGGGCAACAGAGCAAGACTCCATCTAAAAAAAAAAAAAAAAAAAAAAGGCTGAGAAAAAGGTTGCCCACCAAATGGAATAGTTAGCAATTTGCAATAAAAGAAAAAATGTTTCAAGGCTAAGCCATGAGAATTGTTTGTACGTGGGAGGCGGAGATTGCAGTGAGCTGAGATTGTGCCACTGTACTGCAGCCTGGGTGACAGAGGAAGACCCTGTCTCAATAAATAAATAAATAAATAAATGTTTCATTATTTGAAAGAGATAAAAGATTAATTTCTTTTATACCTCTGTTAAAGTCTTCAAGTGATCCAGACTTGAGAAATTTAAAAAATAATTATTCCTTCTTAGAACGCTTGACTGGGTCTATGATAACCTCAGTTCCTAAATACTGAAAGAGTTTTAACTGTAGTTTATACTAAATATACTTCACAGTATGTATTGAGTAGTTTTGTATTAATTATAACTTCCTCCCCTCTTCATTAAGCAGCTAATCAAAAGTTACAAACACACATACACGCTGGCACATATGTATAATTGTACCTGTACAAGAGAGTATTAATTTTAAAATCTTTACCTATAACATGCATTATGAAATATACAAGTTTCTTCTATTCATCTAAAATAAACCAAAAATTTATTTATACATTCACTTTGTAAGAGTAAAATGCCAAAGTTACCTCTACTGTAGCAAGAAAAGACATCAAGGAACATACGCTATGACCAAAATTTAAAAAGCAATGATTTTCTTAGCTCTTTATTCACAAAATCTCATTATTTCTTCATACAAAATTATTGGAGTTTTACATTTATATACTATTCAGTAACATAGATTTTGTGAAATGTTATCTCTCTCTAGAGCATATGACTCTATACTACCACATGAAATTAAAAAGAAACTATTTTTTTCCAAAGAGAAAGTATTTATCATCAACTTCTTTTCAGAAATGCTAAAGAGCTGGTAAAGATAAGTATGTTTATCTTCGTGTTTCCTCTTGTGGACTCATATTCTATTTGAAATCATGTATTTTACAAAATCTTACCTCTGCTGGATGCTGAATTATGTACAAATGGGTAGAGATATGCAGAGGGTGCGCTGGGAGAAATGGACACAAACACACTTTCTGAGGCCGGCTGAAGGATAAAAAGAAAAATAAAACTGGTAAATTTTAAAAATACAATGATATAACAATTTTTAAAAATGAACTTAATCCCACTGAATTTATACAAAGAAGTTTGCTAAAGCTGCATTCTTTTCAAAATGAAATACCAAAACTGAATTTAATCAATCAGACTTTAGACATGAGAATTTGGAGAAATTCAAGTAAATTCTTTACCACTTATATAGATTAACGTACCTCAAAAAAAAAAAATCTTACGTTAGTTATATTTAGAGAAAGAATACCTATAAGTTATCTGGTCCCTTTATTCAAAAAATGACACTTCTGATTTGCATTCCAAATCAAGAAGAGATCTCACATCAAAGAGAAACCTGGCAACTCTTCTACATCACTTTAAGTTGAGTAAACAATAAGATGATAAAATAGTAAAATATAATTACCATGTAGAGAAAAATACTAATCAAACTTAGCCATCAACCAATACAGAGAGCTTAACAATTGGGAGAAGAAATTCAAATAGACGCCACCAAATTGTATTTGGCTAGAATTATACCAGAAGAGTATTTGCCTTTTCCATTTAACTTACCTTTTCTTACTGTTTGTCATTTTTATTTTACTTACTTTTTAGTGCTTTACTATTGTTTAGGTAACTCTTACACACAATATAAAGTTCGAATAGAATTAAAGGGTATACCTGCTATCTCTGTCCTCCAGCCTACGGTATTCTCTTCCTTTAGGGGCAACCAATGACCGGTTTTTTATGTGTCCTTCCAAAGGTATTATATGAATAAACATTTATATTTTACCATTAAATACTACATTTGGTATGTGTATTTATAACATGAAATTCATGGCCAGGCTCAGTGGCTCACGCCTGTAATCCCAGCACTTTGGGAGGCTGAGGCAGGTGGATCACCTGACGTCAAGAGTTCGAGACCAGCCTGGCCAATGTGGTGAAACCCTATCTCTACTAAAAATGCAAAAATCAACTGGGCATGGTGGTGGGTGCCTATAATCCCAGCTACTCGGGAGGTGGAGATAGGAGAATTGCTTGAACCCAGGAGACAGAGGTTGCAGTGACCTGAGATTGTGCCACTGCACTCCAGCCTAGGCGACAGAGCAAGACTCCATGTCAAAAAAAAAAAAAAAAAAGAAAAGAAAGAAAGAAAGAAATTCATTAAGCAGTCAGATCCCAGATATGGGAGTAAATGTTTCACAAACGATCACAGGCAGGTGTTATAGCCATTACAACAGTATACAAATGAATGCTATATTAAAGGAAATTTTCAATACCATACATACAAGCTGACCACTGTTAACTCTTTCCTCAATTTTATTTATATGGAATTTTAGACTGAGGTTAAGAAATGCTTATTAATAAACCATACAGTGTGGGTAAATTGGCTCAAACATCTGTTAAATACACCCTCTCATTCTGCAAGAAACTGCCAAATCTATGCTCTGGATGAAGAAATTATTTAGATATCTTAGGCAGAAGTAAAATCATATTATACATGACTCCACCTCCTCTTTCCAACCCCACTGAACCTGGAATGGAAGCTTAACCCAAGGAAAATCAATACACCTGATTTCCAGTGACTTCTGAGATGATTCGCTATGATTGTTCTGCCCCACACTGGATTTCCTCTCAAGAATATAAGGAGATTTTTGAGATAGAAAGTCTTTCTGTGGTCACAAGAGTAAACACAAAAGAGGGACAGACACCAGTTGATGGAATTGGGTACACTGACAAACAGATCAAGCACTGCTATAAGAAAGGATTCCTCACTCAGTAGAAAGAGGAACAGGATGAGGTACATTCAAATTCTAAAAACCGAGATTCTGACTTTTTTTATTAAGTTAACTAAAACCAAAAACTAAAATGATTCAAAGAATAAATACATCACAGAACAGAAGAACCAAGTAAAAACTGATGTTTCTCCAACCTAACCAGGCAAATTTAAATGAAGTATCTATATCCTAATAGTATTTCAATGTGGTGGGTGGGGTAGAGTTTGACTTTGAATTTTTTTTAATAAATCTATTCAAATGTTGACTGAAGAAAAGTTGTTAAGTCCATAAACATTAGCTTCAATCTTAAAAAAAAAAAAAACAGAATCTCACTCTGTCACCCAGGCTGGAGTGCAGTGGCACAAACTCAGCTCACTGCCACCTCTGCCTCCTGGATTCAAGCGATTCTCATGTCTCAGCCTCCTGAATAGCTGGGATTACAGGCACACATCACCATGTCCAGCTAACTTTTTTTATATTTTTAGTAGAGAGAGGTTTTCACCACATTGGCCAAGCTGGTCTCGAACTCCTGACCTCAAGTGATCCGCCCACCTCAGTCTCTCAAAGTGCTGGTGAAACAGAAAATTTTCCTTGACCCCTTCCTGGGCCTCATGACAGGAGTGCCTCACTTACTCGGTCCACAGCTCTCAACCCCTGGTGGGACGGGGAGCAGCAGGTGAACGGGTGCAGGAGCCAGAGCTAGCACTTCTGGGTGCTGGCAGGAGCAAAACTCTGTGGGCCCCCCCCCCCCACCGCAGTGTCTAGGGGAGTACTCGTGACCCTTGAAGCCCCAGAGGGCATGTGTTACAGTGCTCTTTTAGCTTTGCCGCTCACACCTGTGGCACCCAAGCTCTTGTTCAGCATCCAGTAAAAATCGGGTCACACGAATGAATTGAAGGGTGGTAAATACGGAGGATTTTATTGCCAATGAAAGTGGCTCTCAGAGGGAAGGAGAGCTGGAAGAGGGATGGAGCAGGAAGGTGATCTTCCCCTGGATTCTGACTGTCCCCCACTGGACTCTCCAAAGCAACACCATTAAGCCATCCCTCTGAGGTCAAGCTGCTTTTCTCCAATGTCAAACTGCAGTCGTACCATACAGCTGCCTTTCCTCCTCTCCCTTTCTCTTCCCTCTGTCAGTTGAGTCAGGGGTTTTTATGGGTACAGGATGGGGGTGGAACAGGCCATGTGTGGTTTTGGAAAAGACAACATTCGAGCGGGAAAACAGGAATGCACGTTCTCACTTTGGGGCATAGTTCCAGGCTTGAGGGTGGGACTTTGCCAGGGACCTTGCCCTTTTCTGCCCAGAATTTCTCTGCCTCCTGTTCCTATCACTGGGATTACAGGTGTGAGCCACGACACTCAACCAATTTTAATCTTTTACAGATAAAAGTCCTAACTTGTATCTGTAAAAGATTAAAATGTTATTGGGGCAACACAGAGTGTTTTTACCTAAAAGGTTGATTTCTAACCTTTAGTAGATGAACTACCTATTACACTATGTTTTTATAATATATATTATCATTCATCAAATGTGTTATGCAACATTTGTTATTAAAGTGAGTCGAACTTCAATTCACTTTGGGGATTTTTAGAACTACACAAAACCACAATATACCTGAAGTTCCTCAGTAGTATCACAAAATCAACTTATTTGAACTGCCCTTTTTAAACATTCTACAAAAATTGATAATTTATCCTCAATGGACTCAGTGAAAATGTCAAATGAGATGAATTTTTTTCTTTTTTGAGACAGGGTCTTGCTCTGTCACCCAGATTGGGGTGCAATGGCACAATCAAAGCTCACTATAGCCTCAATCTCCCAGGCTCAAACAATCCTCCCACCTCAGTCACCCAAGTAGCATCTGGGACTAGAAGCACACACTATCACATTTGGCTAATTTTTTATTTTTCTGTAAAGACAGGGTCTCACCATGATTCCCAGGCTGGTCTCAAACTCCTGGGCTAAAGCAATCCTCCTGCCTCGGCCTCCCAAAGTGTTGGGATTATAGGCATGGGCCACTGCACCTGGAATTTTTTTTTTTTTTTAATAAATCAAACTGTAATATTTTGGCCTTTTTAAATGCAGCTTTAAATATCTAAATTAACAACCAGGTGTGGTGATTCACACCTGTAATCCTAGCACTTTGGGAGGCTAAGGCAGGCAGACCACTTGATCACAGGAGTTCAAAAACAGCCTGGGCAACATAGCAAAACACTGAGCATGATGGTGAGCACCTTTAATCCTAGCTACTTGGGAGGCTGAGGCCAGAGGATCACTTGGCCCAGGAGATTGAGGCTGCAGTGAGCTATGACTGCACCACTGCATTCCACCCTGGGTGACAAAGCAAGATCCTGTCTCAAAAAAAAAAAAAAAAAGAAAAGAATAGAAAATAGAAATAACTAAATACAACTCTCTATAAAAATCAAGTTATCTTCGTATCTTGGAACTATCACGCACGTCCACGTGAAGAGACCACCAAACAGGCTTTGTGTGAGCAATAAAGCTTTTTAATCACCTGGGTGCAGGCAGGCTGAGTCCAAAAAGAGAGTCAGGGAAGAGAGAGAGGGGTGAGGCCACTTTATAGGAGTTGGGTAGGTAGTGGAAAATCACAGTCAAAGGGGTTGTTCTCTGGCAGGCAGGGGCGGGGGTCACAAGGTGCTCAGTCGGGGAGCTTCTAAGCCAGGAAAAGAAATTTCACAGGGTAATGTCATCAGTTAAGGCAGGAACTGGCCACTTTCACTTTGTTTGTAATTTTTCACTTGCTTCAGGCAATCTAGAGGTATAAGTGCAGGCTTGGGCTCAGAGGCCTGACATTCCTGTCTTCTTATATTAATAAGAAAAATAAAACAAAACAGTGTTGAAGAGTTGGGGCAGCAAAAATTTTGGGGGGTGGTATGGAGAGATAATGGGCGATGTTTCTCACGGCTGCTTCAAGCGGGATTAGTGTCAGGGTGGGAACGTAGAGTGGGAGAGATTAAGCTGAAGGAAGATTTTGTGGTAAGGGGCAATATTGTGGGGCTGTTAGGAGGAGCATTTGTCATATAGAATGACTGGTGATGGCCTGGATGTGATTTTGTATGAAATGAGAAACTAAACAGAAAACACAAAGTCCAAATAAGAGAAGGAGAAAAACAGGTATTAAAGGACTAAGAAATTCGGAGGACCCAGGACATCTAATTAGAGAGTGCCCAAGGGGGTTCAGCATAATTACTAGCTTGGTT